TTCTTCTCCTTCTCCACCTCCTCCTCTTCTTCTCCTCCTCCTCCTCTTCTTCTCCTCCTTCATCTCCTCCTCCTCCTTCTTCTCTTCTCCTCCTCCTCTTCTCCTCCTCCTCCTACACGTCCACCTCCTCCACCACCACATGTTTAAAGACCAGCAACAAGTGAGTTTGGGGCTGTCCATATTGGGTGCATCTGCTCTCGTTTTCCTCCCCCTCCCCCCACAAGCCATTGGCCCTGTAATATATGGCTAGGACTGGGTCAACACACCTGCAGCATCAAGCCATTGTCCTCCCACTCTCGGTAGCCAGGAGAGAGCTTCTTGGGCCTCTGTGCTCCCCGAGTTAGGGTGGTTTCAGTTGTGCGATTAATCTCCCACCCACCCACTCTGCCTCAGTCTGGAGGGACTTTAGGCAAGGGTTAGGTGAATGGCTGGGCCTTTTGGGGTTCAGGGCTGGGAGATCCCCCTATTCTGCGGCTGTGGAGTTTTCAGCACTGCTGGGAACCTGAACGTTTCGAAGCTGCTGTTTCTCCTGGTGCTCCTCCTGGCCCGGATTACAAACGAAGGAAGGACTGTCAAAATCCAACACAAATTGTTTGTTTTGCCTTCAAAGAGACGGTCATTCGGGCCCCCAGAGCCACAGGGAAAGTGGGAGGGGGAGTGTTCAAGTCCCTGGAAACCCTCTGACGACACCCCTCCCTCCCTATCCAGCAGGAGTAGCTTTGTTCTGCCACATGGCAGCTGTGCCTTGGTGCTCCTTCGCACCGATCGAGGCCTCTCCCGGCTCGGGATGAAACTGCCGGGATAACATTTCCCCAAAGCCTTGCCTTCCTTAAGTTGGGCCACCGTGGGCTGCTGCTTCAGGGGGCGCCCCCCCCCCGCCTGCCCCTCGGGACACCCCCAGAGAGGCCATAGAATTGTGTGTCACCTGCAAAACCGGCTGCTTCTTCGTCGAGACTTTGGGCAGTTTATGAGCTGGGGAGGGTGGGTGAGTGGGGGGGTGTCTCTGCTCTGTCTGAGTGTTGATTGCCTCCCTTGTGCGAGGACAGATCTTAGCGGCACTTTTGCTCTCCAATTCCCAGCTGCAAACCGAAGGCGAAGAAGGACGACATCCGTGTTTGGCAGAAGGTGTTGTAAAATGCATGAGGCTTTTTTCCTCGCCACGTCTTGGAAGCCTCCGATCCCGAAGCAGGCAGGAATCCGCCGGAATCTGTCCTCCCGTCTTCCTTTCGGGGTCGCCCTGACTATGGATTAGCAAAGACGGGACCCGTCCTTCCCTCCTCGCTCTCCTTTCCCCCAAAATCTTGGTTTTTTGTTGTTGTGGTGGCTGTTGCTTCAGAGTAGCCTTCTCCTCTCCCCCCCCTCCTTCCCCACAACCTCCCATAATGGCCTTCTTGCCTTGTTCGATTTGCACGGAAGGAAAAGAGGCGGTGGATGCTGCGTTTGGCCGCTGATCTCTTCCCTCCTTCCCCTCTTGGCCTAAGGCTATGCTGAGATTTCTCGCTCGCTTGTACTGTTGCAGAAGCTCCGGCGACGAATATTCCGAGGATGACAAATGTATTCTGAGCCGGTACGTTTCCCTTTGTTTTCCTTTATGACATCCATCTCCTTCGCCTCCCCTCCCGCACACCCCATTCCTCTTGTCATTTCGGGGAGTTTTTTTCCCTTTTCCTGCTACTATTGGCCAGAAATCAGGTTAATAGGTACTGAATGTAGCTGGGTGCTGCAGTGTGACTGGGGAAGGTGGAACAATAGTAGTGCCAGCTCGGTCTCGGGGTGGGGGGGAAGACCGAGGCGGTCTTTTTATAGACCAAAGCTGCATTGTGGTGCCTGGCGGTGTGCGGCCGCTCCCCCTTTCCTCCCTCGCCCTCTCGCGCTTCTTCTTTTTTTTTTTTCTAATGTACACTGCAGTCAGCCCTTCTCTAATGAGGCGGTGGCACCGTCAGCGGCCAGCCCAAGCCCTACCAGTGCCCGCCCGCCCGCTTTAGGGGACGGTGGGGGTCGGAGGAGAAGCCCGGCAGCCCCCCTTGGCAGCTTGGAAACGCCGGGTTCACATCCTTGGCAAGCTGGCTTGGCTGGTTCCCAGCCGGAGCCGCCGCCGCCACCACCATCCTGCCCGGGAGAGTGCGTGCGTCTGGAATGGGAGCCCGAGCCGGCCGTCTGTTATGGAAACGCTGTTTGCTGTTATTGTAGTATCGCGGTGACCAACATGCCATTGAAATGGAAAACGAGCTCGCCTGCTAGCTGGAAGTTCCCCGTGGCCGTGCTTAAAACCTCCCGGTCATCGCCGCTTTCTCCAGCGTACATGTAAGTCAGAGGACGGGAGGGCATCTTGAGGTGGGCATGCCTTTGCAAGATCATATTTCCCCCCACTCCCCACCCCGGCAGGGTTCGGCTCTGTGCAGTTTTAACACCCCTCTTCCCTTTTTATCTGTGGTGCCGTATTATATTCTCTGATTGTGACATTGGTCTAAGAATTTCCATTGTCCACATCCCATTCTCTCCCCTATCCTGGAATGTCGGCTTTTCCTTCCTCTTGTCAGTTCTGTTTCTTCTCCTCCTCCACCACCACCCCATGACAGGTGTTGTGTTGCTTTTGTTGGGTAAAGCAGGGGAGGAGGAATGGAGCAGATTCGCTCGCAACCCTTCCTTTTCGGTCCCCCTTTTTTGAAGTTTTGAAGTGGGGCCGTTGGTCTACAGTGTAGATCTGAGAGGAGTAAACTCCCGAGCTCTTTCCTCTCTCTCTAGTTGCTTTTCATCATGAGATAACGCGAAAAACGCCCACCACAATCATCACCCAGGTGTCTTTTTTTGGGACTCGATGTGATGTGTGGGTTTTCCGTGGTGAAATACTGGCTGTCAAAAGTCCCAATTCTTTAATCCAAGTAATTGTTCCTCTGCTTAGATTCCCTTTCATCTCTCAGAGTCAAAAATCCCAAGCATTGGCTTTGCCTAAAAGAACTGCAGCCAAAGATTTTAGATTTGTAAAGGACAGGCTCACGTTTTTCATAAGACGAGGGATGTATTTCTGGCTTGGACTTGAGCAAACCACCTGGCATGGTAAAAGGAAAAGAAAGAAAGAAGGAAGGAAGGAAAGAAAGAAAACTTGATTTGGGTGATTTTGCTCGTCATTTCCACGAATACTGCGATCTAAATACCTTTTATGGCTTTTGTGTCTAAAAAAACACAAAATACATCTCCACAGCCTTGGATTTGGTTTCCTTAGGTCTTGTGTGATTTTTCACACAATTGTATTTTCAAATGTTTTGGATTTTATATTCGCTTCCTCATAGACAAGTCATCCCTTCACCTAAAATTTACCTAGAGATTTCTGCCTGTCTCTTGGTTTTTAGTTCACATTTTATATCATGAGACGTGCAGTATCTTTTTGCTGCAAATTGCTTTTATTTTTTTAAAGCGTCTCCCAAACTTTCAGCATTTTAACAGTTAAGAGTATTTTTCCTAGATCTGAAACTTGAAATTTTACACTTGGTGTGTTGAAACAGGAAGGACAGAAGCATTTGCCCATCTTGAGTTAGGAAGGGAACATTTCTGTTAATTCAATATATGTCAGACCAGAAACTAGAAAGAGTCTCGGAAACAAGTATAGAAATACGTGTCTTAAAATATATTCGTTAAATGAGTGAATCCTTTTTTTTTTAAAGCCCTCTCGTGTGCAGTTCAGGGTATATATTTCGTAATGATTTATGTAATTGCAGAGCTCAAACATGCTCATCAAGTTCATTTGTTTTCCTTAGTAAAATATATGTTGTACTTGATGTATAGACCAAAGAGGTTTTAAAATCTCAAAGAAGAGGCTATATTGGTAATGATAGGTTTGGCACAGTTTATTCTTAAGAAGGCTCAGAAATATTCTTAAGTCTTTATGAAGTGCTTTACGATCCATTGTCCTGAACACTACAGGTCCTGCTTTCTCGTGTTCCTTCTCTACACCACCCTACACCCCCCCCCCCAATTTACCCCACTTTGCCTCAAGCAGGTGAATTGCTCTCCTAGACACACTCCTGTGAGCCTAGAAGTCAAGAAAGTCTCGTTTTTTACATTATATGTTTTGGGCAAAAGAACAAAACATTTCCCATATCTC